GTGACTGCAGGCCTGTAATTTTATGAGTCTCTAGTTGATCCAGGTTCTACACTTCCACTAATACATATTCTCCAAGGTTATTAAGTTCCTTACTTTTCAACACATACAGCATTATGTTACTTCCTCACACTTGCAACCAAATTTCCAGGAAACATCTGGAATAATATTAGAGAGTTGGTGTTATATCAAAACTACATCCTCTGCTTTATTCATTTGGAAGTGACTAATTTCAACCCTGAGGTTAGAAGTGAGCACAGATGGATGTGTATGTTTTAGGAGTTTGCTAGCACTTACCAACAGAGATGCCAAGTCACTAATGAAAACCCTAGAACAGTGCTCACCTCCTTCACCTTCAGAGAACTATCAAGGTACCGCATACTGTGGGTACTGTCCTTTCTCTGTTCTGTAACAACCCCAGGTAGCACTCAAAGTGAATCCCAAAGTTCCTCAAACAATTTTAAACTCAGTTTGTTTAAAATAAATGCTCCAAAACACTGGCTCTCAACCCTAGTCACATGTTAGAATCATCTAGAGCACTTCCATAAATACCAATGCCTAGCTTCCTCCCTTCTCCACTCACCACCCTTCAAAGATTTGTATCTAACTAATGTAGAGTGACACCTATACATCAGTTACTTCTTTTTTTTTTTTTTAAAGATTTTATTTATTTATTTGAGAGAGAGAATGAGAGAGAGAGCACATGAAAGGGGGGAGGGTCAGAGCGAGAAGCAGGCTCCCTGCCAAGCAGGGAGCCCAATGTGGGACTCGATCCCGGGACTCCAGGATCATGACCTGAGCCGAAGGCAGTCGCTTAACCAACTGAGCCACCCAGGTGCCCCTACATCAGTTACTTCTTAAAAGCACTTCAGCTATACTGATAAATGAAGGTATTATTATTTTAGGTATGACAACAGCATTATGGCTGTGTTTTGGAAAAGGCTCTCTTAGTGGAAAAACTGATGAAATTCAAATAAGGTCTCCGCTTAGTTACTTATGTGGTACTGATATTAATTTCCTAATTCTGATCATTGTACTAAGGTTCTGTAAAATGCTCACTTTAGAGGAAGCTATGTGAGGGGTATAGAGGAACTCTCTAAATTATTTTTGTGACTTTTCTCTAAGTCTAAAAGAGTCCTTTACTTTTAATGATATAGACTTAGGGGCGTCTGGGTGGCTCAGTCGGTTAAGCTTAAGCTTCCAACTCTTAATTTTGGCTTAGGTCATGATCTCAGGGTCCTGAGATTGAGCCCCGCATGGAGCCTGCTTAAGATTCTCTCCCTCTCCCTCTGCACCCCATGCTGCTTGTACTCTCTCTTAAAAAAAAGATATATACTTAAATGCTTATGAATGAAATTATATGCCTGAGATTTACTGCAAAATAGATCAGTTGGAGAGGTGGCAGGGAGTGAGTCGGGGTATAAACAAAACAGGACCTTACACAAATTGATGCCTGTGGTGAGTAGCTGGGCAATGAGTACATGAAGATTCACAATATTTGCCTACTTCAGTGTGTGTGTGCATAAAATTTTCCATCCTAAATACTGGAGGTAGAAATTCCCAGGTGATTCTAACATATATTCAGGGCCAAGAAATACTGCTTGAGAGTCTTGGAAATGAGGTATAATGAGGAGCTCTATCTAGTACAACAAGCTACAAAATACCCACTCTTTGATGCTGAGCTACTAGTTTAATCTTTCTGTATTACAGTTTCCTAAACTACAAAACAACAGAAATGTACTAAAGACCTTTCAAAAAGAAGACGAGAAGCCTTACGAAATAGATTTACTGTTCTAAAATCTCCTAAGAGTTAACATCATAGTTAATTTCTAGCACAGTAATCAAAAATTGTAAGGTCTTGTGTCTACAAAAGCAATTCCCAAAGAATGTACTAAAAAACACTACTTCTGTAAGATGTTACCTAAGATAAGGGTTCTGGGATCAAATAGGTTTGAAAAACACCAGTTTTGGGGCGACCGGGTGGCTCAGTTGGTTAAGTGACTCCCTTCGGCTCAGGTCATGACCCCGGGGTACTGTGATCTAACCCCGCATAGGGCTCCCTGCTCAGCAGAGAGCCTGTTTCTCCCTCTCCCACTCCCCCTGCTTGTGTTCCCTCTCTATCTCTCTGTCAAATAAATAATAAAATATTAAAAAAAATAAATAATAGATTTTCGATTTCCACACTCCTGAGGGCATCAGATGCTTAGACCAGAAGAAAACAAAGAAAAAGGTTAAATCTTCTGACATGGGATGGTAACTGTCCTTCAGTCTTGAAATTATTTTGGGATACCCAAATCATGTTGAACCAGGCCAGTCTCAACTGAGTTGAAAATCACATTTGCATGAATATATGAAAGGATGGATCTGAGTTGAGTTTGCGGGAAAAAATGTACATTAGAAAATTTTATTTAAAGAATTGGAACTTTGGTCGGAGGAGCAAGATGGTGGAGGAGTAGGAGACCCAAATTTCGTCTGGTCCCAGGAATTCAGCTAGATAGGCATCAAACCATTCTGAACACCTACAAACTCAACAGGAGATCAAAGAAAAGAATAGCAGCAACTCTCTGAACAGAAAAGCGACGACTTTCTGGAAGGTAGGACATGCGGAGAAGTGAATCTGAGGTGATATTCGAGGATAGAAAGCAGGGGAGGGGGCCTCTGTTGGCCACTTCTGGCAAGTGATAGAGCAGCGGGGCACAAAATCGGAACTTTTAGAAGCCTGCTCTGCTGAGGGACATCGCTCCAGTGGCTAAGCAGGGCGTGGAACCCTCGGTGGGGCAGTGTGGCCTCAGGACCCTCGGGGTCACAGAAAGACTGGGGGTGCCTGAGTGCAGCAGAGCTCCCAGGTATGGGAGCGGGGAAGCCGGCTGCAGAGACGGAGCCGAGGAGTGGGCTCTCAGCTCGGGGTCGCCATAAACCGTGATCCGCGGCACAGTTGGGCCACTGCTCCTCCAGCAGGGACCCAACAAGCGGCAGATCTGGGGAGACTCCCCTTCCTCCCCCAGGAGGAGCGGCATGGGAGCACACCGCAGGGGTCTGCTGGGTTTGGCAACTCCACACCGAGTCGGGTGCCAGAGATAGAAATGCTCGGTCACAGGCCGGGTGAGCACGGAGTGCAGCTGGAGACTGGGGAGACGGGAGTGACTGACTGCTTTTCTCTGGGGGTGCACTGAGGAGCGGGGCCCCGAGTTCTTGGCTCCTCCGGGGCGGAGATTGGGAGGCCCCCGTTTTCACTCTCGTCCTCCAAAGCTGTAGGGAAAGCTTGCAGGGAACAAAAGCTCCCGAGAGCAAACCCAAGCAGATTACTTAGCCCGGACCCGGCAAGGGCGGGGCAATTCCACCTCCGGCAAAGACATTTGGGAACCACGGCAACAGGCCCCTCCCGCAGAAGATCAGCCAGAACAGCCAGCCAAGACCAAGTTTACCGATCAATGAGAACGGCAGAACTCCAGCACTAGGGGAATACTGCACATAAAATCCATGGCTTTTTTACCATGATTCTTTAGTCTTTCAAAGTTAATTTTTTTTTTTAAGATTTTATTTATTTATTTGAGAGAGAGAATGAGAGAGAGAGAGAGAGCACATGATGGGGGGAGGGTCAGAGGGAGAAGCAGACTCCCTGCTGAGCAGGGAGCCCGAGGCAGGACTCGATCCTGGGACTCCAGGATCATGACCTGAGCCGAAGGCAGTCGCTTAACCAACTGAGCCACCCAGGCACCCCTCAAAGTTAATTTTTAAATTTTTAAAAAAAATTTTTCTTTTTCCCTTTTTCAACCAACATCTTATCAGTCCCTTTTTTAAAACATCTTTTTTATTTTTCATTTTTAGAGTCATATTCTATCCCTTCATAGTAGTTAACCTTATTTTTGGTGTATATATATATATAAGTTGTTCTCTCTTTAAAATTTTGGGATACAGTTTCTTATAACAAACCAAAACACACCCTAAATCTCTAGTGTATGCCTTTGTTCTAGTCTCCTGCCTGATCACATTCTCTCCCCCCCTTTTTTTTTAAATCCTTTTTTTCCCCAACCAATTTCTTATCAATTCCTTTTATAAAATCTTTTATAATTTTCATCTTTACAATCATATTCCATCCCTTCATCGTATTACCCTTATTTTTGTACATATATAAGCTTTTCTTTCTTTAAAATTTTGGGAGGCACTCTCTTCTAACAGACCAAATACGCCCACAATCTAGTGTGTGGCACTGATCTATGCACCAGCCTGATCATATTTGATCATATTCTGTTTTTTGTTTGTCTGTTTTATCTTTTTCTTTTTTCTTTCTTTCCCTTTCTTTTCCCCTGGTTTCAGGTCTCTTCTGATTTGTTTAGTGTATATTTTTCTGGGGTCGTTTTTACCCTGTTAGCATTTTGTTCTCTCATTCATCTATTCTTCTCTGGACAAAATGACAAGACAGAAAAAATTACCTCAAAAAAAAGAACAAGAGGCAGTACTGACTGCCAGGGATCTAATCAATACAGACATTAGTACGATATTGGAACTAGAGCTCAGAATGATGATTTTAAAGATACTAGCTGGGCTTGAAAAAAAGCATGGAAGATATTAGAGAAACCCTTTCTGGAGAAATAAAAGAACTAAAATCTAACCAATCTGAAATCAAAAAGGCTATTAATGAGGTGCAATAAAAAATGGAGACTCTAACTGCTAGGATAAATGAGGCAAAAGAGAGAATGAGTGATATAGAAGACCAAATGATGAAAAATAAAGAAGCTGAGAAAAAGAGAGATAAACAACTATTGGATCACTAGGGCAGAATTCGAGAGATAAGTGATACCATAAGACGAAACAATGTTAGAATAATTGGGATCTCAGAAGAAGAAAGAGAGAGGAGCAGAAGGTATATTGGAACAACTTATAGCAGAGAGCTTCCCTAATTTGGGGAAGGAAACAGTCATCAAAATCCAGGAGGCACACAGAACCCCCCTCAAAATCAGTAAAAATAGGTCAACACCCCGACATCTAATAGTAAAACTTACCAGTCTCAGAGACAAACAGGAAATCCTGAAAGCAGCTCGGGAGAAGAGATCTGTAACCTACAATGGTAGAAACATTAGATTGGCAACAGATCTAGCCACAGAGACCTGGCAGGCCAGAAAGGACTGGCAGGATATATTCAGAGCACTAAATGAGAAAAATAGGCAGCCAAGAATACTATATCCAGCTAGGCTGTCACTGAAAATAGGAGAGATAAAAAGCTTCCAGGACAAACAAAAACTAAAGGGATTTGCAAACATGAAACCAGCCCTACAAGAAATATTGAAAGGGGTCCTCTAAGCAAAGAGAGAGCCTAAAAGCAACATAGACCAGAAAGGAACACGGACAATACACAGTAACAGTCACCTTACAGGCAATACAATGGCACTAAATTCATATCTTTCAACAGTTACTCTGAATGTAAATGGGCTAAATGCCCCAATCATAAGACACAGGGTATCAGATTGGATAAAAAAAAACAAGACCCATCGATATGCTGTCTGCAAGAGACTCATTTTAGACACAAAGACACCCCCAGATTGAAAGTGAGGGGGTGGAAAACCATTTACCATGCCAATGGACACCAAAAGAAAGCTGGGGTGGCAATCCTTATATCAGACAAATTAGATTTTAAACCAAAGACTATAATAAGAGATGAGGAAGGACACAATATCATACTTAAAGGGTTTATCCGACAAGAAGATCTAACAATTGTAAATATCTATGCCCCTAACATGGGAGCAGCCAATTATATAAGCCAATTAATAACAAAAGCAAAGAAACACATTGATAACAGTACAATAATAGTAGGGGACTTTAACACCCCCCTCACTGAAATGGACAGATCATCTAAGCAAAAGATCAACAAGGAAATAAAGACTTTAAATGACACACTGGACCAAATGGACTTCACAGATATATTCAGAACATTCCATCCCAAAGCAACAGAATACACATTCTTCTCTAGTGCCCATGGAACATTCTCCAGAATAGATCACATCCTAGGTCACAAATCAGGTCTCAACTGGTACCAAAAGATTGGGATCATTCCCTGCATATTTTCAGACCACAATGCTTTGAAACTAGAACTCATCACAAGAGGAAAGTCGGAAAGAACTCAAATACATGGAGGCTAAAGAGCATCCTACTAAAGAATGAATGGGTCAACCAGGAAATTAAAGAAGAATTAAAAAAATTCATGGAAACAAATGAAAACACAACTGTTCAAAATCTTTGGGATGCAGAAAAGGCAGTCCTAAGAGAAAGTATATAGCAATACAAGCCTTTCTCAAGAAACAAGAAAGGTCTCCAAATCACAACCTAACCCTACACCTAAAGGAGCTGGAGAAAGAAGAGCAAATAAAGCCTAAACCCAGCAGGAGAAGAGAAATAATAAAAATCAATGAAATAGAAACCAAAAGAACAGTAGAACAGATCAACGAAACTAGGAGCTGGTTCTTTGAAAGAATTAACAAGATTGATAAACCCCTGGCCAGACTTATCAAAAGAGAAAAGACAAATCAACAAACTCATGAATGAAAGAGGAGAGATCACAACCAACACCAAAGAAATACAATTATAAGAACATATTATGAGCAACTATATGCCAGCAAATTAGATACTCTGGAAGAAATGGATGCATTCCGAGAGATGTATTAACTACCAAAACTGAACCAGGAAGAAATAGAAAACCTGAACAGACCTATAACCACTAAGGAAATTGAAGCAGTCATCAAAAATCTCCCAACAAACAAAAACCCAGGGCCGGATGGCTTCCCAGGGGAATTCTACCAAACATTTAAAGAAAAATTAACACCTATTCTTCTGAAACTGTTCCAAAAAATAGAAATGGAAGGAAAACTTCCAAACTTGTTTTATGACCACCATTACCTTGATCCCAAAACCAGGCAAAGACCCCATCAAAAAGGAGAATTACAGACCAATATCCTTGATGAACATAGAGGCAAAAATTCTCACCAGAATACTAGCCAATAGGATCCAATAGTACATTAAAAGGATTATTCACCACGACCAAGTGGGATTTATCCCTGGGCTGCAAGGTTGGTTCAACATCCGCAAATCAATCAATGTGATACAATACATTAATAAAAGAGAGAACAAGAACCATATGATCCTCTCAATAGATGCAGAAAAAGCATTTGACAAAGTACAGCATCCTTTCTTGATCAAAACTCTTCAGAGTATAGGGATAGAGGGTACATACCTCAATATTGTAAAAGCCATCCATGAAAAACCCACAGCGAATATCATTCTCAATGGGGAAAACCAGAGAACTTTCCCCCTAAGGTCAGGAACATGGCAGGGATGTCCACTACCACCACGGCTATTCAACATAGTATTAGAAGTCCTAGCCACAGCAATCAGACAACAAAAAAATAAAAGGCATCCGAATCGGCAAAGAAGTCGTCAAACTCTCACTCTTTGCAGACGATATGATACTTTATGTGGGAAACCCAAAGACTCCACCCCAAAACTGCTAGAACTCATACAGGAATGCAGTAAAGTGGCAGGATATAAAATCAATGCACAGAAATCAGTGGCATTCCTATACACCAACAACAAGACAGAAGAAAGAGAAATTAAGGAGTCGATCCCATTTACAACTGCACCCAAAACCATAAGATACCTAGGAATAAATCTAACCAAAGAGGCAAAGAATCTGTACTCAGAAAATTATAGAATACTCATGAATGAAACTGAGGAAGACACAAAGAAATGGAAAAACGTTCCATGCTCATGGATTGGAAGAACAAATATTGTGAAGATGTCAATGCTACCTAGAACAATCTACATATTTAATACAATCCCTGTCAAAATACCATCAACTTTTTCCAAAGAAATGGAACAAATAATCCTAAAATTTGTATGGAACCAGATAAGACCCTGAATAGCCAGAGGAATGCTGAAAAAGAAAAGCAAAGCTGGTGGCATCACAATTCCGGACTTCAAGCTCTATTACAAAGCTGTCATCATGAAGACAGTATGGTGCTGGCACAAAAACAGACACATAGATCAATGAAACAGAATAAAGAGCCCAGAAATGGACCCTCAACTCTATGGTCAACTAATCTTCAACAAAGCAGGAAAGAATGTCCAATGGCAAAAAGACTGTCTCTTCAACAAATGGTGTTGGGAAAATTGGACAGCCACAGGCAGAAGAATGAAACTGGACCATTTCCTTACACCACACACAAAAATAGATTCAAAATGGTTGAAAGACCTAAATGTGAGACAGGAGTCCATCAAAATCCTAAAGGAGAACACACGCAGCAACCTCGTCGACCTCAGCCGCAGCAACTTCTTCCTAGAAACATCCCCAAAGGCAAGGGAAGCAAGGGCAAAATTTAACTACTGGGACTTCATCAAGATAAAAAGCTTTTGCACAGCAAAAGAAAACAGTCAACAAAACCAAAAGACAACCGACAGAATGGGAGAAGATATTTGCAAATGATGTATCAGGATAAAGGGCTAGTATCCAAAATCGATAAAGAACTTATCAAACTCAACACCCAAAGAACAAATGATCCAATCAAGAAATGGGCAGAAGACACGAACAGACATTTTTCCAAAGACATCCAAATGGCCAATAGACACATGAAAAAGTGCTCAACATTGCTCGACATCAGGGAAATCCAAATCAAAACCTGAATGAGATACCACTGCACATCAGTCAGAATGGCTAAAATTAACAAGTCAGGAAAATGACAGATGTTGGCGGGGATGCAGAGAAAGGGGAACCCTCCTACACTGTTGGTGGGAATGCAAGCTGGTGCAGGCACTCTGGAAAACAGTGTGGAGGTTCCTCAAAAAGTTGAAAATAGAGCTACCCTATGACCCAGCAATTGCACTACTGGGTATTTACCCCAAAGATACAAATGTAGTGATCCGAAGGGGTACGTGCACCCCGATGTTTAAAGCAGCAATGTCCACAATAGCCAAACTATGGAAAGAGCCAAGATGTCCATCGAGAGATGAATGGATAAAGAAGATGTGGTGTGTGTGTGTGTGTGTATACACACACACACACACACACACTGGCATATTATGCAGCCATCAAAAGGAATGAAATCTTGCCATTTGCCATGACGCGGATGGAACTGGAGGGTATTATGCTGAGCGAAATAAGTCAATCAGAGAAAGACATGTATCATATGATCTCACTGATATGAGGAATTCTTAATCTCAGGAAACAAACTGAGGGTTCCTGGAGTGGTGGGGGGCAGGGGAATGGGGTGGCTGGGTGACAGACATTGGGGAGGGTATGTGCTATGGTGAGCTGTGTGAATTGTGTAAGACTGTTGAATCACAGACCTGTACCTCTGAAACAAATACATTATATGTTAAAAAAAAAAAAAGAAGAAGATAGCAGGAAGGGAAAAATGAAGGGGGGAGGATTCGGATGGGGAGATGAGCCATGAGAGATTATGGACTCTAAGAAACAAACTGAGGGTGGTAGAGGGAAGGGGGGTGGGAGGATGGGTTAGCTGGTGATGGGTACTAAAGAGGGCACGTACTGAATGGAGCACTGGGTGTTATACACAAACAGTGACTCATGGAACACATCAAAAACTAATGATGTAATGTATGGTGATTAACATAATAAAATAAAATTTTTTAAAAAAATTAATAATAATAAAAAAGAAAAACACCAGTTTTATTTCCTGTAAGATTCCTAAGAACTTTTAAAAAGATAATATGCATTGTGACTTTCCAAGGGTTGTGATGGAATATGCAAAAAGTTTGACCTTCTTCACGTGGGACTAATTTTGTAGAATGTATTTTGCAAAACAGTGCTCTAGACCAGTGGTTCCCAAATCTCAGGTAATGGAGAATGGATTCAATATCGTTTGATAAGCTTATTAAAATAATGATTTACAGACCACATCCTAAACCTACCGGCAGGAGAGGAAAACTAAGTATTAAAACAAACACAATCACATCTGGGATTTAAATCTCTATAGATCATAATATAGTAAAATATGTTTATAATATTTGAAAGGCCACAACAATGCTAACCAATATGAAAATATAAAATGACAATTTGGAACGCTCTTCCAAATAAAAGTATTTAAGCCATGAGAGAAACATATATGTATATATTTTATGAAAGGTAAGTAGTAAAATATTAGAGGTGTTGGCAAATTTAAATCTATCAATATACCTAGAGACAACTTTGTAATCTCAAGGATTTACGACATCTATTTGCAGTGATTCTCAACCCTTTACTTGTGTGCTTCCTCATATCCATCTTCTTCTTGTGCCTGAGTCAACGACCAGGACTATTTTGTTAAACAACTCCAGGAGTTGCCATTAACATGAGTGGTTTCTCCAAGATTGAGCTCCTGACCTTTTCTTTATATGAAACTACTTCAAGGTGTCAGGAATCTTAATCCCTTCTTTACTGAAAACTTTAGAAAATGTATGTACTATACTATGCAGGAGCCCAGTCAATGATATATATTTCAGTGTTTAACTGAAGTACCTTATTATTCTTAATAATTACTAAACATCTGTAGAACACACTTCAGTTTTCTAAGTACTTTCACAGGAATTACCTTGTTCCTTCCCTCACAAAAACCTTGTGGATAGAATAAGCATAATTATTTCCATTCAACCAATAAAAATCACTGCGCTTTTCATGTGCTCATACTGTGAAAAAATAATTGTAAGTGATATCAAGGCTCCTGCTCTCAAACAACTGATACCCTATTGGAAAACAAAATATAAATTTCATTTGGAAACAGCTAAAGTCAATTCAAAGATTTGAATCAGCTAGAGCAGATCAGTATGGCAGGACTACACATACTAATAGTAGCTAACACTTACTGAGCAATTTTAATCTTCATTAAACCCTTGGGATAGGTTACTACTCTTTTTTCAGATCAGAAAACTGAGACCAGGAGAAGTTCAGTAACTTATCCAAGCAAAGAAGTGGTGAACCAGGTTTCAAATTCCAGCTCCATGGACTACTCCTTTTCATCATTACATTTTACTGCTAGGAAAGACAATCTATCTAAAGCAATGGGGACAAATGTCAAGACTAAATCAGAAAATGACTATTCCCCATAAAGCCTGGATCACTGGCTCTACTTCCCAGTAAAAAAGGACTTGGGAGTCGGAGGAAATCACAATAATGAGCCGGTGATTTTATTTTCCCACAGTACATTACCTCTTTGATTCGTTTAACCAAAGCATTCTGATCAAAGGCAACGGCCTCTGCGCACTGATGAAGATGATCCTGATATCGAAGGCAGAGCTGTAACACCTGCTGAGAATCCAATTTCTCCAATTTGGTATTTGTTGGGGAAGTCTGGCCACTCAATAGCCCTTCAAACAGGAAAAAAAAAAAAAAAAAGAAATGAAATGGAAGTTACTATTAACAAACTTGTTTTATAAGTAACTTAATAAGTTCAGTAAAGACGGGGTAGGAGACTAAAATTTAATCTTCCATCTTTTGTTATATGCTAATGACAATCATAGCAACCATCATTTATGGAGCATCTATTATATACCAAGTACTCAGCAAAATGTCTCATATGCATTATTTTCATACTCATAATTGCACTAGAAAGTAAGGTATTATTAGTCCCATTTCATAGGTAAGAAACTTAAGACACAGAGAGATTAAGTAACTTTCCTAAAGTCACATAGTGACTAGTAAGTGGTTTCTCTAGAATACAGCTCCTGACCATAAGACACTATTTCAAGGTATCAAGAATATAAATCCCTTCTTGAATGAAACCTTTGGAAAATGTATTTATTTAATTTCTTTTAATAATTACAATAATTGTCTGACTTTAAAACAAAGGTTGCAGCCAGGGACAAAGAAGGGCATTACATAATGATAAAGGGATCAATCCAATAACAGGATATAGCAATTATAATATTGATGCACCCAACACTGGAGCACCTAAATACATGAAGCAAATACTAAGAGACATAAAGGAAGAAAATGAAGACTAGGGAACTTTAACATCACAGTTACATCAATGGATAAATCATTCAGACAGAAAATCAATAAAGAAACAATGGCTTTGAACAACACATTACATCAGATGGCCCTAACAGATACACCCAGAACATTCCATCCAAAGATGGCTGAATACCCATTTTTTTCCTTCAAAGATTTATTTATTTACTTACTTATTTGACAGCAAGCGAGCAAGAGAGCACAAGCAAGAGGGAGGGGCAGAGGGAGAGGGACAAGCAGACTCCCCGCTGAGGAGGGAGCCCGATGTGGGGCTCAATCCCAGGACCCTGGGATCATGACCTGAGCCAAAGGCAGATGCTTAACTGACTAGGCCACTCAGGTGCCGCAGAATATACATTCTTTTTAAGGGTATATGAAACATCCTCCAGGAAGATGATACATTAGGCCGCAAAACAAGTCTTAATAAATTTAGGAAGACTGAAATCAGATCAAGCATCTTTTCTGACCACAATGGTATGAAACTAGAAATCAATTACATGGAAAGAACTAGAGGGATGCCTGGGTGGCTTAGGCCCTTAAGTGATCCTGGGATCAAGTCCCAGATCAGGCTCCTTGCTCTGCGAGGAGTCTGCTTCTCCCTCTGCCTGCTGTTTCCCCTGCTGTGTGCTCGGTCTCTGACAAATAAGATCTTTTTTTAAAAGATTTTTTTTAAATCTTTTTTTAAAAAATATTTTATTTATTTGAGAGAGAGAGTGCGCACAATTTGGGGGGTAGGGGCAGAGGGAGAAGGAGAAGCAGGCTCCCTGCTGAGCAGGGAGCCCAACTCGGGGCTCAGATCCCAGGATCCTGGGATCATGACCCAAGCTGAAGGCAGCTGCTTAACTGACTGAGCCACCCAGGCATCCCAATAAATAAAATCTTTAAAAAAAAAAGAACTGGAAAAAATACAAACACATGGAGGCTAAACAACATGCCACTAAACAACCAATGAGTCAATAAATAAATAAAATAGGAAATAAAAAAATACATGGAGACAAATGAAATGAAATGGTCCAAAATCTTTGGGACACAGCAAAAGCAGTTCTAAGAGGGAAGTTTATAGTGATATAGGCCTACTTCAAAAAATAAGAAAAATCTCAAATAAATAATCTAACCTGACACCTAAGGAGCTAAAAAAAAAAGAACGACAAAGCCCAAAGTTAGTAAAAGGAAGCAAATAATAAAGATGAGAGTGGAAATAAATGAAACAGAGACTAAAAAAACAAGAGAAAAGATCAATGAAACCAAGACCTGGTTCTTTGAAAAGATAAACAAAATCGATAAACCTCTGGCCAGACTGACCAAGAAAAAAAAAGAGAGAAGACTCAAAATCAGAAATGGAGGAGAAGGGGCACCCGGGTGGCTCAGTTGGTTAAGCCTCTGCCTTTGGCTCAGGTCATGATCCATCGGGCTCCCTGCTCAGCGGGGAGACTGCTTCTCCTTCTCCCGTTCCCTCAGCTTCTGCTCTCTCTGTGTCAAATAAATAAATAAAATCTTAAGAAAAAAAAAAAAAAAGAAATGGAGGAGAAGAAATAATAACTGACAACACAGAATACAAAGGATTATAAGAGACTACTATATAGACTACTATATAGACTACTACTATACCAAAAAGCTCTTAGAACTAATAAATGAGGGGCACCTGGGTGGCTCAGTTAAGTGTCTGCCTTTGGTTCAGGTCATGATCCCAGGGTCCTGGGCTCGAGCCCCACATCAGGCTTCCCTGCTCAGCAGGGAGCCTGCCTTCTCCCTTTCCCTTTGCCCCTTCTCCCTGTTCGTGCTCTCTCTCTCAAACAAATAAATAAAATCTTAAAAAAAAGAATAAATGAATCCAATAAAGCTGCAGGATATAAAAATTAATATACAGAAAAACCTGCTGTACTTCTATACACTACAAATGAAATAGCAGGAAGAGAAATTTTAAAACTCCCATTTAAAATTGCACCCGAGGGGCTCCTGGGTGGCTCAGTTAGTTAAGTGTCTGCCTTCAGCTCAGCTTATGTACCAGGGTCCTGGGATCGAGCCCCATATCAGGCTCCCAGCTCAGCAAGGGAGATTGCTTCTCCCTCTCTTTCTGCCCCTCTCCCTGCTTGTGCTCTCTCTCTCTCAAATAAATAAAATCTTAAAAAAAAAATTAATTTACATCCCAAAGAATAAAATACCTAGGAATAATTTTTTTTAAAAGATTTTTATTTATTTGAGAGAGAGAGAATGAGAGAGAGCACATGAGAGGGGGGAGGGTCAGAGGGAGAAGCAGACTCCCTGCCGAGCAGGGAGCCTGATGTGGGACTTGATCCAGGGACTCCAGGATCATGACCTGAACCGAAGGCAGTCGCTTAACCAACTGAGCCACCCAGGCGCCCCCCTAGGAATAATTTTAAACAAGGAGGTGAAAGACCTAAACTCTGAAAACTATAAGACACTGATGAAATAAACTGAAGATGACACTAATGGAAGGATATACCATGTGCATGGACTGGAAAAATCAGTATTGTTAAAATGTCCATACTTCCCAAAGCAATCCAGAGATTCAGTGCAATCCCTATCAAAATACCATAGCATTTTTCATGAAACTAGAATAATCCTAAAATTACACAGGAACCACAAAAGACCTGGAATAGCCAAAGCAATCTTGAAAAAGAAGAACAAATCATAACCCCACACTTAAAGATATACTACAAAGCTACAGTAATCAAAATGGTATGGTACTGGCACAAAAACAGATCAATGGAACAGGACAGATAGCCCAGAAATAAACCCACACTTATATGGTCAATTAATCTACAACAAAGGAGCCAAGAATATACAATGGGGAAAAGACAGTCTTTTCAATAAATGGTGCTGGGAAAACTGGACAGCCACATGCAAAAGAATGAAGCTGGACCGCTGTCTTAACACTATATACAAAAGTAAACTCAAAATGAATTAAAGACCTAAATGTGCAACTTGAAACCATAAAAGAAAACACAGTCATCTCTTTGGACATCAGCCTTACAACATACTTATGGATATTTCTCCTTGGGCAAGGGAAACAAAAGCAAAAATAAACTATTGAGACTATATGAAAATAAAAAGTTTTGCACAACAAAAAACAAAAACCATCAACAAAACAAAAAGGCAACCGAGTGAATGGGAGAAGATATTTGCCAATGATATATCTGAGAAGGGGCTAATATCTAAAATACATAAAGAACTTAGACACCACCAAAAAAACCCAATCAATCTGATTTAAAAATGGGCAGAGGACCTGAACATTTTTCCAAAGACATACAGATGGCTCATGGACACATGAAAAAGATGCTCAACATCATTAATCATCAGGGAAATGCAAATCAAAATCACAATGAGATAATCACCTTGCACCAGTCAGAATGACTAGTATTAAAAAGATAAGAAACATCAAGTGCTGGCAAGGATGCGGAGAAAAGCGAACTCTCAGACGTTGTGGAATGTAAATAGGTGCAATCACTGTGTAAAACAGTTTGGAGGTTCCTCAAAAAATTAAAAACAGAATTACCATATGATCCAGTAATTCCACTACTGGGTATTTACCTAAAGAAAACAACATTAATTTGAAAAGGTATATGCACCCTTATATTTATTGCGGCATCATTTATAATAGCCAAATACTGGAAGCAGCCTAAATGTCCATTAATAGATGAATGGGTAAAGAAGATGTATAGATCTAGAACACACACACACAGGAATATTAGTCATAAAAAAATGAAATCTTGCCATTTGTGACAACATAGATGGACACTTAGGGTATAATGCTAAATGAAGTAATTCAGACAGAGGAAGACAACATATGATTTCACTTACATGTGGAATCTAAAAAACAAAACAGACTCTTAAATACAGAGAACAAACTGGTGGTTGCCAGAGGGGAGAGAGGTAGGGGGATGGGTGAAATAGGTGAAGGGGATTGAGAAGTACATATTTCCAGTTATAAAATAAATAAGTAATAGAGATCAAAAGTAGAGAGTAGGGAATATAGTCAATAATCTTGTAATAATGCTGTATGGTGGCAAATGGGGACTACACATCTCGTGGTGAGCTTTGAGAAATGGATAGGATTGTGGAATCACTATGTTGTACATCTGCAACTAATACAATGTATGTCAACCTACTTCAGTAACAATTTTTTTTAAATAGTTGTTTGAAAAATTGAGAAACAGAAATAAAAGTTAAAGGAAGCTGTTAGGAGGAGATGCAAAAATGAATAAATTAAAAAGTGAACAGAATATCAGCTAATGCACCAGAAACTCCTGTTCTTTGTGTTTTCTTCCATTACCAGTTTTGTTGTATAACTATTAAATTCCTTACATTTTATAGGACATTATATTTTTAAGGCCTT